CACCTCATGACATTGATGACCAAACAATTGTAGTGTCAAAAAAGGGGAAAGTGAAAAAATGATCAAAAAGTCATCTTCAAGCTACTTTTCAGTTAAGAAGACAGATTTTTAAAGAAAAAAAGTTGCACAAAGCAATTGTCAACTCAAGTGATAATCTTCAAGATGATAATGCAATGATAAAACAATCATAATCTTTCCATAGAGCATTTCATTCAAATGCTCTCAACTTGTTGACTCAACATAGCATCAACATTGTATTGCCTTTATTCAGTCATGTTACGCATGGTGTACAAACGATTTCAACATGTGTTGGCCCTTAAAATGATAACAAGTACGATCATGAGATTAAATATTACATAACGCCAAGTAACTGCGTCTACAAAGCTACATATGTGAACAGCTAAATTACAAACATTTTAAATGCACAATGCGCATGCTTTTGTTGAACATTGTTCAGTTTGCTTTTCAAATTCTCTAAACAACCGTGGAATGAAGAACACGTCGAGTGCTGTTGAGTAGAAAGTTTAGGAAGTCCAAACTTTTATCAACCACGCTCAACATCTCTCAATGCCACTTAACACATCTCAGCAGGTTGTGCAAATGCTCTAAACATTTTGAGTCTAAATGTAGATCGCATGTTAAGTCAGCATGTTAAAAGTGTTGGCATGCGTCCCTATAATATGGTTAAAAAAGTAGCACTCAAAAAAGGGTGTGTAAAAAATTAAGGTCTTAAAAAATTGCGTAATTCGAAATTTCATTGCTAGATTTTTATACTAATCTCACTTGTACATTACTTCGCACATTTTGCTACGACAAGTGGGAGGAAATTCTGTAAAATTCTGTGGAGCAGAAAAGGCTTTGTGCTAATAACAAAGATATCTAATGTATGTACATAGCTGACTAAAGGTACTTTATGAATTTATGGCTTAGAATAGTGGTTAGAATTAAAACTATCACAATAAGTCCATATCTAGCGATCTTCCTTTTTAAGATACGCAATGTATAAAATACATTTTTTGTTATACTCATTCATAAAATTGTTTGAGAACGCTTCATAAAGCTAAATGTTGTTGGGTACCTCCTTTAAGAATCTTTATACTGAACAGAGACCTTTCGTTGTAACATGTTTCCAACGCGACAACAAGGGCGAAACTAGTACACTAATTGGGGGGTTGGGCGGAAATATTCATATATTCATCTTTGCCCTGCGATTTCTTTTGTTTGCGATTTTGATTTCAAACAAATTCAAGAAGACAGATCAAATATTCACCCCTTATCTCCTCCCCCGAAGTGCGTTCGTCGGCTCTGCGCGACAAATAATGTTTTTTTTTAATCTCGTTTTTATCGTGTCGTTGTAAGGCAATTTAACAAGTTGAAAAAGATCATGGTGACATCCACTTAGATTTTGCAAAGACGTCATAGCCGTCATATTTCTTTAACAATGGAAAAGAATTTTGATGGCGTTCTCCTTCTCCTTTAAGATCAATGTGGCTGCTACATATTCATTGTTATGTTGATCCCTAACAAATAAGAACAAACCTAGATAGTGCAGTGGCCTAGCCAGTCGTATTTAATTATTTCTGTATTTACTACGCATAAACTTCTGTGGTTATATGACAAACATGAAATTTCAAAAAAAGAATGAATAATGTGATGTTTTGACTTTTGGATTTATAGCTGGATAAAAAACGTGACCAATACCTGGTCTATTTCATTATTTTTTATACTAAAGAGTTGTGATTTCATACAATTTTAAGTTCATAAGGCAGTTAATAGAATCAAATTTGCTGCATCAGTGAGTTTCTAAAGGCAAATTAGGAATAATAGTGCTTTGTCTCAAAGCGCCAATTCAATTCATCGTTCCAACCTCATACTGCACACAGTCAAATAAATTTGCACATATATTAAAGTAACCCCTATTTCTACTACAGGATTCAAACCAATACCATGGACGAGAAAAACATGAGTTCTGACAATTTTAGGGGGGCAAAAATGGACACTCCTTCTAAAAAAGAGACACTCGACGCAATGTCAACGGTTTCTGAGACGAGTTTAAGCTTTGGGTCAGAAAATAGCGGTGAAAATATTAAATTTTCCTGCACTCAACAATTGGCAATGCAGCCACTGGAAGCAACTTCAGAAAAAACAGTTTACACTTACATGGATCTTATTCAGATGGCCATCATGAGTTCACCTCATCAACAGATGAAGAAACGAGAAATGCTCAAGTTCTTCAAGATCAATTTTCCTCATTTTGTCAAAACTCAAACCGATTGGCGTTCTTGTGTACAACAAGCCTTGGCAGACAAACGTTTCATCAAGCTACCTCGGAAGTTTGGAGATGTAGCCAAATACTATGCAATGGACCCTGACTCTTGTAAAATTAGTGACAAAATATTCGACTATCTAAAGTTACCTAGGCCAAGTAGACGTAATCAAGGAGAGCACAATCTTTGTAATAACTTTCTTACAAGAGTCAATTGTATACCAAAAACTGATAGTACTCCGACCCAGTCAAACTCAACTTACTCTACTACTTCAAACTTACTCATTGAGGAAGATGAAAATCATGAGGATCAATGTGTACCAGAAAAACAGGCACAAAAGCAATTGGGAGCGTCTTCCGAAAAACAGATATACGGTTACACGAATCTTTTTCAAACGGCCATTACGAGTTTACCAAGAAAAGAAATGATCACTGAACTAATAGAAATGGCGATCAATAGTTCCCCAAGTCTTACCATGACTTTTCCCGAAATCGTTACGTACATAACCGAGCATTTTCCCGTTTATGCTCGTTCATCGGACTGGTATACATTAAATTTGGAAGAAATCATTCAAAAGTACTTATTACACAATGTCCATTTTGTCAAGTCGCCTCAAGAATTGGATGGTTACAATTTCTGGAAGATAGCGTCAAATTGCAACGCAATTAACGAAGCGAGGCAATCTCAAGGCCTTCTAGAAAAACCACCTTACAGTTACGTCGTTCTTATTCAGATGGCCTTAAAAAATTCACTAGGTAAAATGATGACAGAATCAGCAATATTTAAATTTTTGCAGAAAAACTTTCCATACTTTCGCAAATGTCCCTTCAATTGGCGTGAACAAGTTCAGCAAACATTAACAGAACACGTATGTTTCACTAAATTACCTACGGTAATGGCTGAGATATGTAGATTCGATTACTGGACAATAACCTCAGCTGACAGAATGATTAGCATTTCACTGAACAGTGAGCGAAAGCAAAGCCAATCTTCTTCCGATATACCACCTTACAAGTACATCGAACTTATCCAAATGGCTATCATGAGTTCACCTCATCAAATAAGGACATTACAACAAGTTATCGAATTCTTATTTGATAACTTTCCTTATTTTGCCAGATGTAAAAGCAACTGGCCTAAATGTGTTGGAGCAACCTTGAGACACCACGACATATTTGTTCAGTTGCCATTGAAATGGACAGATGATGTACATTGCTGGACAGTACACCCAGATATGTGTACCATTAGCGAAGAAATGTTTGACAGTGTTAATTTACCTAGGCCATCTATATGGAAGAAGATAGAACGAGAAAATCTTTCCGGCAAAAAAGATCCTACAAATGTTGATATTTCATCCCAGGAAAGCCTAACTATTCCTCTAGCTACAGCTACAGCTTGTTTCACAAGTTTTCCCACTACCACCACATCAACCTCAACAGCTACGTCAATTCCCGTTTCTACTCACTTCACTGGGTTGTGGGAAACCCAAGTAAATCAAGACAGACCAACACAGCCATACAACACATTGTTTCAGAGCAGAGAGTTGCCAGACTGCAACGAAGAGTCTTGGCATGATACAATAAGCTTAAGTGTGGACTAAGTACGTTAAGCAGGACTATAAACATCACATATGCCGGCATGTTTGTAGCGATTTGAGAGTTGATAATCACTCAAATCATGTATGATGTATTTATAGTTAATTTTCCTTAAGTAGTTATATTATCCCTTTTTTATGTTTATGAATTTTTTTTTAACAAAGAATGAACAATGATAATCCTCAAACTCGAAATTATATTGGGGGAAAAGTTCATTAAGAGATATTGCTCTGGAAAAAATCGTTCATGCACGAATTTAATCATACCATTGAATTAAATGAACTTTTAAAATACATATCATAGGAAATTTTCCATGTTTTAATAAAGATTTTATTTAGGAATTTTGATTGAAGTTTTTTGATGTTGTGTTAGTGCAGAGAAAACAGTTAAGTGGGTAAGGATTAAAGAGAACTACTTGACGGTGAATTCAAGGCAAAGGACAAGGAATAAGTACATTAAGAAATCAAGAAGGTAAATAGTATTCTGCACCAGTTTTTCATTTATTTAATGAGACATTTTATGTAAAATAGGTAGGTAGCAATGTTGGAGAGATTGGACGAGCAGTGCGTAAAGTAGCTGAATGCGATGGATGGAGTAGCATGTAAACAAGGCAGCATGTGAGGAAGTAGCATGTTTGGAGGGAAAATGGATGGATCAGCATGAGAAGGTGCCCCATTAGAATGAGTAGCAAGTAAAGAGACTACAATGCAAACTGGAAAAAATGTTAGAAAACGTCATGTAACTGCTGCAGGTAAAGTGACCACCATGCGAATGAACACAATAGGAAAGAGTACCATTTGATGTGCACTAGGTAAAAAGGGCAGGCTGTAATTAAAGAGCATAAGAAGAAATAGCATTTAGAAAAAGGCAGCAAGTAAAAGAGCACCATGTGAAGGTATACAATGTGAACGTGCAGTAAATAAAAAAAGCACAATGTTAAAAAGAAACATAAGAAATAACAGCATGAGAAACAGCAGAATTGCAATTCTTGATGTCCAACCAACCTATTGGGATTTTCCAAATAACGTTTGCCCACACCGTCAAGATCCCATCGTGGCAATAACAAATATTCATTTCGTTTGAACTTCAAACTATCAACAAGGTGACGGAATTCATTGATAATTAATGACGAGTGGTGCCACATAAAAGTAAATGTTTGTGTTCAAACTTTGCATTGATTTTGATTGTTGGAAAGAAAGTAGACTGAAAAATGACTTAATACTTTTTTGGTAAATACGAAAACAGATCCCTTGAATTTCATTTGTGGATTTTTATTCTCCCGATTAAAATAATATTGAGTACAAGATTTTAGTTCAGCAATATCTCCCTATATTCCCAAGGATTGATTCCTCTTCACAGGATGATAAAATAATATATAGTGTTACACGAGATCCAAACGTTGTAACCAATAAGTTTTTTCTTATCAATAAAGGATAGAAATTCTTAAAGGTTAGCCTAAGGATTGGGGATATGGTTTAAGTTCACTAAGTATTCAAAAACCTACAATTTTAACTATTGGAAACTACCAAGCATTGACAACTTCGATAATTTGTTAACTGTCCCTCGTGGCGTAGCTAGCAAAAAATGTTTGGTCATACTCTCTTACAACCTCACGAGGCGCCAAGTGAGAAAATTTTTTAAAAAAATTTAGACCGTCTACGGACCCTAAAACAACAACATTTACCCAACCAATTGAAGTTTAAGTTACCCTTGAATTCTACGAAAAAATGTTTTTAAAAAACAATATTCAATATCTACGTTAATTACAATTAGTACTACACGAAGTAATTCACTCTCGCTCTTTACGATTACAATTTACAAACAATTATCTCTTCTGTTTAACTGCATGAAGACAATACAACTATGTAACTTTTATGATGGGGAAGGCAAACTTACAATAATATAAAAAATGAATAAAAGAAAGTTTATTGTCTGAACAGGAGTTAGAATATTAGGTAGTTTTTAGATAATGAAATAAACAAAAAAACGTAACACGAATCTTTCTGACATTTATCATGCAGCATTAATGATAAGAGCTTTATAACAGTGGCGGATCTAAGGCACATATCTAACCGGTCAAGTGAAGTAGGTAAATAGGAATCAAAGCGAATCAAAGTGAAGTAGGTAAACAGAAATTTGTATGTTCCATGTTTCATAATCAAAGCGAAAGTAGATTATCACTACATTTGTTCAAAAAACATTTTCGTACAAAATCCGGTGCCTATTACGCGTAACTGCGCCACTAAAAGAGCAAGCGTTACTTTGGTGTACTCAGCCGCGAGGTTAGTAGTATCTATATGAATGTATGACCGGTAGCCGGTCTTCAAAGCTCGAAAATATGGTTTGGATTGGTCAGTTTTAAATTTTGACCAGTCTGCAGCCAACTTTAAGGGTGGTTTGACCGATCTGTGGGTTAGCCTGAAAAGTTTCCTTAAACACAATTGGTCAGCAAAAGAGAAAAGTAAACTGTCATTGGTCAATTTCTAATGACAGGTCAGTCGGATCAAAAGTTCAAAATAAACACATCACACTCAAAACAAATCATCGTTCCATCTGTAGGTCTGTATTATAAGGATATTTTTGTGCACTAAATGAAAAAAATGGTTGTAAGTGCGATTGAAAAACCTCATTCCAGGCGTCAAAATATTCCTGCTTTGTCCTATATATACGAGGCACACTTGAAAGAGCTGAATTCTAAACGGAGAAGCGGGTGCTGAGATGATCACGTTGTTGAATTGGAAAATATAAAAATGTAAATGTATTGCATTGCGATTTTGGGGCTGAAGTTTATATTCCTCTGCATTGAAAACAAAGATCAATTACGCAGCTTTAAGGTGTTCGTTAGATTTTTAATTTGTCATGAAAGCACACACAATGTAAAATTTACTTTACTTTGTAATATGACTCTGTTTATTAGGCTCTATTTGCATATTATTTCAAGTGCGTAAACAGTCATGAAAGTGGAGAGTTTATCTTCAAAATACGTCTTGGTTTTTGAGTTATTTAACAATTTTATGACTTATGATTCTTGATATTGGGCAGAAATTTGTATTAAGCTTCGCTTTCATTTTAGATAAAATTTTGAACTTTAATTTGTATTAATATATTCATGTCAATATCAAAATTTTATGAAGGGCGTAAAATAACAAGCTGTACCGCCACTACGTTATAATACCATCTTGTATCACCGAGATAAGAAAACTCAATTACGTGGGAAGTAAGAAAAGCCTTTTCATTGGCGAATTGTTTCTAAAAAAAAGTGGAAAGTACAAACAACAAAGAAAATATTCACAAGTAAAATTCAGGTTGGAGTTTGCCACAATACAAAACTAAGCTATGGGCATCACAATGAACAACATGAGCAAATTCGAGAAATGTAAATAAGTTTATTGGTTGTCTTGACAAGATAGTCAAATTTTAAAAGTGATGGATGATTCACTTATGTATGTATTCAGGTTGATAAGACAACTGATAGTTCCAACAAAGAGTAATTGTAAGTATGATTGTTTGCATGAGTAAAAAGTTTTGTTTATGGAACTTGTAATAAAACTGCAACTGCTATATCAGCATTGGGAAAAGGTAAGTTGAAGAAGCATAGAAACTTTATAGGCACTTATCGGGCAAACAGATGATGCATTTGAAGTAGCAGTTGTAGTTGTATTTCAACTGACAGCTGCAAATCCAAGGCGCCTTTCAATGATACTTCTCCTTTTATTTTTGCGAAAATACTTAATTGCTTTTTGTGGAAACATCAATTGTTTCATCAAACTGAATAATCACAAAGAGAAATCATCTATCTTCTTGAAAATTTTATCTTCTATGATAAAGTCAAGTCAACAAATCAAATCATTTAACATGAGTGGTGACACATTAGCAGAACATATGCACATCCAATCAAGACTGTGATGTAAATACCTTCTAAAGACAAAATCTATTAAAGCAAAGGTCTCAAAAGGCTCTTTAAAATTCGTTATTCATGTTATCATTTGATTATTCATGACCAATACAATTAAATCTGTTTCAATATATAACAGCATTTAAAGTTTTGAGGATTGCTGTATTTTCTCATACCTCTTTCATTTTATTTTAAAGTTGAAACTCTTCACGTTGTGATTGTGACACAAGAGAGTTCACATTAAGCTAGAGCAAATTATTTGCACGTAGTATAAATTTACAAGTTACCATGTACGGATTGCTCTAGAGTTTCTTAAATTTAATATTCCATGACGTGAAGAGAATTCCTTGAATTCCAGGAACAATAGACAGGGCCAGCAAAGTCACTGGCCTTGCGATGCTATCTTGACTTCGCTCTTCCATAAAGCCTATCTTCTTAAGCCTCTTTTTCACTCATCGCAAAACGTAATCGCAAGTTACTCGCAGCGAGCTTACCATGATTTGCAGCATAGTTAAATCATTTGAACAAAATTTGTTGATCACGCGAACAGACTCGCATGCTCGCAGCGAGAGCATTTTGCGATAAGTGGAAAAGAGCCATTAGTGTATCAATTCTTCCCAAAGCTTCGAACACACAATGCTGTTTACAATTTCGGCATCGGCCTTTGGTTTACGATGATATTTTAGTAGCCAGATTATCAAGCAAAGAAAAGCTTTCACGGCAATTAACCGATTATACTTGCTTCGGCAGAATATATACATGGAAATAAAAGATGGATTATAAATATAGTGTTTTGTAATGCTTTGAATGTACACGAACTACAAACACGAATCTCGCACATAAAAAAATTACTCCCGGGATTAAGTTTGGTCACGCCATTCAAAATCAGCATGACCAGATGACCATGCAAAATCAGCATGACCGTACTATGTCATGTTTGAGCACGCTCAGATGCTTTTATCCAATTAAATTAACAAAAATTTCACTAAGCTGTTGCCTGGCAGCAAGATAATGCGTAATAGACTAAAATAAGAAGCAATGTGCAATTCATTAGTTGACCTTCGTCCCAAATACTTATATGTAAATAAGAAACTATCTGGCATCAGAATCTACAATGACAATAACAACAATAAAATAATTTTTGTGGAAATTTTTAGTCATGTTGAGCATGACCAGCATGACCTCTAGCTACGCCCCTGACTGTCCCTTCAACTGGCGTGAACTGGTTAAACAAAACCTAATACATCACGACTGTTTTACTATTTCACATCAGGTATTGGAGAGAAGATGTAGATTCAACTATTGGAAAATATGCCCCATCGACTGCGCAAAAAAACAGTGATCCAAAAACACAGGCGTTTTTCTTCTGAGTAACAACCTTATAGTAACATTGCGCTTGCCCAGATGGCCATCATGAGTTCACCTCGTGAAATAATGACAACGCAAGAAATGTACGATTTCTTTTTGAATAACTTTCTTTATTATGCCAATTGTACACCCACTTAACCCGAATGTATTCGATAAACCTTAAGGCACCACGCCAGTTCTGTAAGCTATCTCTAAAATAGAGCAATAATGTTTAACGAGGTTGATTTTCCTAGACCGCGTACATGTAAAAGGAAAGTTACACCATTTCAAGCATCACTGTTCCTCAGACTAAGCTTCCAACTTGTTTCAGTATTAATATTCTTTCTACAGCATCTACCTCTGCAGCTGGATCACATCTTATATCGTTAACATCAAAAGAGAGGCCATGCAACTCGGACTTTCATGCACGCCAAACCAACCCAGAAAACCCTGACAACTACAACAATAACACATCCAAGAAAAGACAGGTAAAGAGATTACGAGAAAGACACAAATGATTCATGATGGAAATGCTTAAGTGTGGACGAAGCACATAAAAATCTTGAGCTGAACTATCAACAACACACATGCTGCATGCGTGTTTATAACATTGGACTTAATATTATATAGAGATACGGTATTATCTCGTTTGATGCCCGCTTGAAACTTGAAAGAATTTAGTACTATAGATGTACATATGAAGTTATTAAGTCCATTGTCAAATCACATTTGACTCTGAAGATGACTATCGCTAAGGTTGTCGAAACGTCAGTCAACAACAACAAAAACAGTCCTTCTCAGGACTATACTAACCTGGACGATCTACATTTACAGACATGTAACGATACACCCAGGTTCAAACCATTTAAAATATTTTTTGTTATCACTCACTACAACTACATCCGGTTTCTAACATGCAGTTTGGCTGAATTCATTTCTAACCCAATCAGTACCAATCCGTCATTTTATACTTTTCATCATTTCAAGCAATGGCTTACAAGCTAGGTAGCTAGCTTTTTGAGTTCAGCTTTTTAATTTTTTTTTTGTGATCACTCAATACAACAACATTAGGTTACTAAATTTCAGGTTAGCTGAATCCATTTATAACCCAATTAGAAGTACATTTTTATCGTACATCATCAGTTTTGCCAAAATTCAAGGCAACAGCATGCTTTACCATATATTAAATTCGATGTCAACTGTAAAACTTTGGATAAGTCATGAACCTTAGACTGAAATCTATACAAAGTGTAAACAATTTCACATTTGAAATGGCAACTTCTTAACTACTGTGTAGTTATCTCTCGATTCCAAATATAGTAACCCTAACTATTCATTTCTGTAAACCTTAACAAGAATTTAACCTACTTCAAAATCTTCCTATATTGTTGTTCTAAATGGCACGGTGTACGTTGTTCACTTGCCGTACAACGAATATCTTGGTTTGTAGCAAACAATAAAACAGTAACATGGGAACTTGCGGCTGGCGCTCACATTAGCCTTATAAAATATTCTTTTGAGGACTTCCAATAACGGAAAATTATCTCCAAAGAATACCTTAATATAAAGAGTCGGGATTAAGGATCATGACCATGCAAATAAAAATGAGTTCTAGGTCGAGTAGTTAGACATTTTGTTATTGTATTATATTAAATACGACACTCGCGTTATTCCCTTATAGTGAAAATTTCATTAGAAGAGGTTTTAAAGCTTGTTATACTTTCATGGAGCTGATTATATAACTAACATAAGTGTGCTTAAAAATATGACACGAACACTTAGATATTTGACACCAAAATGGTGTTCACGTGAAATGTAAGTCTCGTAAGTGTTACATGACGTATAACACATTATTAATGTCGGGTGAAGACCTCAATAAACAAGGGAAGTAATCGGAGGTTATAGCATGCGAAGTTCAACACTTTTCGTAAAAGTAAAAAGAGTTTGCGTAAGAACTAAGAACCACCACAGGAAACAGCAAAAAGCCAATTTCAGACAATATCTTGTATTTATGTGCTTACCTACGACTACTAAAAACCCATTACAACTATTTGCAGTTAAAACTTAATTTGAAGATTAAAAATATACTCGAACGTTCAAGAAGACCTATTGTTTAAAGAAATTTAGTTTCTTGATTTCTTGTGTAGGTGCACGTACTGCTCCAAAAGATGTTGACGATGTTGATGTTTCCACTGATTTGGTGAAATCTTCAGGCATCGTAAAATCAGGTATAAAATCATGTATATATGTAGAGTCAATTAAGAAAGGAATGTTAGTAGTGGTTGCGTAAGATGAGTTTGACTTGAAGGATTGAGGTGAAAGTTCAAATACTGGAGTATGTATTGAGATTGGTTTTGATATGTTGACAGATGAAACGGTGAAATCATACTTGTATATTTCTAACACGCTCATAATTTAAAATATTGATGAACTCATGATTGCCTCTGTGATCATAGCTTTGTAGGTGTGTGGTGGTTCATCCGAAACTCCTTCCATCGCTTTTGTTTCGTTTTTTTGGCGAAGAGCAAATTGAGCAGCAATTAACCATGCAATTTGGCGATATTGCCCAGTATTGATAATCATCTGAATTCTTAGGCAACTTAACAAAACAGTCTTGGAATTTTAAATATGATCGGACACTTTTATGCCAGTATGTCGAATCCAAGACAATATTGGACTCAGGAAAGTTGTCCAAGATGTAGGTAATGATCTCGTTTTCCGTCATTCTTTGGCGAGGTGAGCTTGTGATAGCCTTCTTAATGAGATTGCCACAACTGTCAGGTGGCTTTCTTTTTGACGGTACCATTTGTTCAGTATTTTTTGGAACACTCAAAAATGGGCTACTAAAGACACTGTTAATTTCCAATTGCCTTTGTTTCGCTTCTCTCGGTAAACAGCAAATTGAGCAGTAATTAACCATGCAATTTGGCGATATTGCCCAGTATTGATAATCATCTGAATTCTTAGGCAACTTAACAAAACAGTCTTCAAATTTTAAATATGATCGGACACTTTTATGCCAGTATGTCAAATCTAAGACAATATTGGACTCAGGAAAGTTGTCCAAGATGTAGGTAATGATCTCGTTTTCCGTCATTCTTTGGCGAGGTGAGCTTGTGATAGCCTTCTTAATGAGACTGCCACAACTGTCAGGTGGCTTTCTTTTTGACAGTACCATTTGTTCAGTATTTTTTGGAACACTCAAAAATGGGCTACTAAAGACACTGTTGTTTTCTAATTGTCTTTGTTTCGCTTCTCTCGGTAAACAGCAAATTGAGCAGTAATTAACCATGCAATTTGGCGATATTGCCCAGTATTGATAATCATCTGAATTCTTAGGCAACTTAACAAAACAGTCTTCGAATTTTAAATATGATCGGACACTTTTATGCCAGTATGTCGAATCCAAGACAATATTGGACTCAGGAAAGTTGTCCAAGATGTAGGTAATGATCTCACTTTCCGTCATTCTTTGATGAGGTGTGCTTGTGATAGCCTTCTTGATAAGATTGCCGCAACTGTCAAGTGGCTTTCTTGTTGATAGTACCATTTGCTCACAATTTGTCGGAGCACTCAAAAATGAGCTACTATTAGCACTGCTATATTCCGACTCTGAACTAACAATGCTGTCAAGAATTGTGGTTAACTCATCTTTCATATTTTGAGTGGAAACGTCGACTTCGGCATCCTGACAACGCTTTTCTGAACTCATGTTTCTTTTCGTTAATAAGTCCTGTTTAAACAAAACATTAGGTATAACAAGTACTTTGAAAAATGTACAATTATTTTGCACATGTATTTTGTTAACCACAGTATAGGAAAGAAACAATAGGGCCAAACATTAAATTATTTTATATCTAATTTATATTACCATAATGAAACAGTTAATTGCATTTCCTGACCAATAGAAAGGCCGAGCTGGCTCACGGCAACCAACTATCTTTTTTAATGATACCGTTAGGAATTTATACAAAATTGACGTGAATGTTTAAAGACGTATTTCCTCTAATTAAAAAGAGAAGGAACATTTAGTTCCTAGTGTCAATTTTCAATACACTATGTATATACTTGATAATTATTCAAGCTCGAAATCTTTTCTTATAAATAAAATGGACAAAGACATGCATTTGAACAGCTAATTGATTTGTATGCAATAGGTTCATGCATTCTAATGTTTGGGTGCTTCGTACATTCTATTGTTTTCAAAAACTATAGTCTTAATTGCTGCCTATAACTTTAGGCATGCTTGTGGTCCGAGAAAAAGAATATTATATAAGTGCTGCGTGAAATCGATTGTTTAATAAATCTCAAGAGAATGGTAGCAAGACAAGAAGTATTTTAGTTAAACAATTTGAAAAAGTGAATACTTACTCAAACTTTTCCACAAAACTACTAAAACCACTTGCCATCTGCAACAGTAACATCAATGAATATAGTATTCCACAAAATAATACAATATTGTTAAATAAAAACCAAAAATACTTTTGCTGCATACCTAGTAACCAGCATGCCTGATCCAAACCCTAACCTAAATCCAAATAGTAACCTTACCCGATAATCCTTGAAGTCAATGTCACAATGCATATCAAAATTTGTATTGTGGTAACACCTTCGTTACCACTCAGTTTCTTTCAGTAACTGTTTATTTTTTGTACCATTTGGTCAAGTGGGCAAAAAGTGGCGAATGAAAAACGTTGTCTATACCATAAATTTTTACAAATACTTCAGTAATTTTGTCACTTTTATCTCTAAATGAAAAAAAACGCACTCTAAAATCCCCAGTACTGCATCCAACTACTTAATTTAACGCTGTTGATCAAATATTCGCGTATTCTCCTACGTTAATTCTTCAAAGCCATTTAATTAAATGATGCTGTGCTATTGCTCATTGAAAGATTTTCATTTCTAAAAAATAAGTAAAAAGGCTAAGTTGGTGATCATAAAAATGCTTACCACATTTTTAATTTAAAAATAAAAAAAAATGAAAAATTTTTTTGGCATAAAAGTAATGCATTATGTATCAGAGCAGTATTTTTGAAAAGAACATAGACAGGATCAACATGTGAACGAGAACCATGTGAAAGAGCAGCAGGTAAAGTGAGCACCATATAAACTGGTCATAAAGTGAAAAAAACATCAAATAAACTGCTGCACATAAAGTGACCACCATGTGAAGGAGTACATAGGGAGAGAACACCATGCGAAGGAGCACCATGTAAAATGGCAGCATGTAAATAAAAACATGGGAAATACGGTATGTAAAAAGGAAAAATGTGAAGAAATACAATTGAAGTATACTCCGTATAAAAAGTCCATGCTTAACTCAATATTTGAGAAGGAAGCAACATAATTCATTTGAGTAATTATATTACTAAATTTTTACAAATTGATCATCAGCCTCAAATAAAATTGTCTTGTTTCCTTCGGAAATATTGATCTAAACACGAACTTTTTAATCGGAGTATGCTTCATTTTGAAGGAGCACCATGTAAAAAGTACAGCAGAATTGAGATTTGTGATCTTCATCCTATCTATTGAGATTTTCCAAATAACAATTGCTCACACTACCTAGATCCCACAATGGCAATGATAAATATTTATTTCTTTTGAACCTCAAATATCAATTAAACAGACCAAGTAATAAAGAAAAGGATTTACAAAGACGACGAAAGCGGGTAACTTCTGCACCTAAATATAGACCTGGTTTTGAAGCAACCTCAACCTCGTGTCTTTGTTTTGTGCATTTTAAGGAATCGTGTTTTAATGTATATCTGAGTGTTTCCGTTAAATTAAAACGGCGACTAATTAAAGATGCAGTTCCCACTATTGATGTGGCTGAATTCATGGAACCAGTTGAAGAGGAGTTGACCGATCGAAAACGAAGACAAGTAAGTGTTATATTGACTGGCGTACAATTGTAGTTGATGTTTCTGATATATAACAGCCTTTAACCGTTTTAGTTTGCCAGAAGCATTCTTATTAGACTCATCTGGGCATAGATGTATCATCCTACAAATTTGCAATGTGCAGACAGCATTGGTATCATTAGGTAAAGGTATGTATTATACTAGAATTTTTGTGACACCACCAAAGCTTTTGTTACATGTTTTTAATGCATAGTTACAGTATTACTAAAGGCATTATCATACTTCATGGGTCTCTTGTCATAAATTTAGTGTGGAGATAACCACGATTATGGTAATGTTGTATAATATTTTGTCTCCTTTTTATTTATGCTTTTATTATTGCACTGTGTTTGTTTGTTTGTTTTTTGAGGTTGACGAGAAAGAAGCTGAAAGACTAATGAACAGTACTTAAAAATCAAATTGAAATAATAAACACATTATTTCAATTCAGATTTCAAAGTGCACAAATAATTGCATAACATGATGGGGAAGAGTCATTAAATGATGAACTTATTTTGAAGTGAGCTGATGGTGCACATTTTCATTCCGAAACATGATAAATTTTCATGTTTAATATAAGTTATCATTTACCCACATCTAGCTATCATCATTCTACAAGCGCTCCCCTGAAGTCATATAGCCAGTTTTGTTCCTTGCTGGATATGTTTTTCTTATGTGATGATAAACAAATACAGGCAAAGGTCTGCTGTTTTCCCACTCAATTGTCCCACATAACCATTTAATTAGCCTTCGATATGCAACAGCTCCCATGTGTCTACAATAAATGAAGACATTAAACAAGTATTAAACATCTCATGTGTCATTAAATAGTAATTTCACTCACTGGTTTATTGATTGTGATATCCTACAATGGTAGGCACGTCCACTCCTGTCTCTTAATAACGGCCTAACAGTTTCAAGAACTGAATGGTGCACCATATTTGCCAAAATCTTCATGCTGGGTAATACACTTGATTTACTTAATGCTGCCATCATACCACACCTCTTGCATAGAAGGTCCCATTTTCTTGCAGCACCTATACTCTGGTGCCCCTTCTAGTAACTCTACATGGCAGCATTGACAGGTGCTCCTGTAAGAACAAGCAATTTTTCTTGCAAATGAATTCTTGACGTACTAGTAACCCAAAGTAATGCAAGTAATCGGATAAAAATTTAAAAACGTACATTGTGCTAAACTCACCATTTGGTAACTGGAATTGTGCCATCACTTCTTTGTTCTAAAATGTCTGTAAGAAGTCCATTCCGATCATCTGGGGGTATAAACATGTTCTCCAAACTCTGCTATAATGGGTCATCATCATAGGGTAAAGAATTTGCCCTTTCGACATAATCCACCGAGGGAAGTACTTCATTCACAATTCGAATCATGTTCAAACATAAAGCGCAAATGGCTCTGATGTTCCGAACATTGAGGAGATTTATAGGAAGCCATGCCTTCACAATACTTTTTCTTAGTATTACGATGTTAATTGTGCGAAAATATTAAAAAATCAAAACAAAAGCAGTGAAAAATCTCAATAAAAACGTTGATTTGTAATATAATGTATTATTGCAAGAAACTGACGTGTTCAACTATTTACGTCACAAGCTCAAGACGGCAGAGGAAAAAGTTCGGAAATAGTAACCAACTTTGGCAGCAAAATGGACTTACTTAAACATGGCTCCTAGAGCTCATTTATGTCTCAAACTTCTTCTAGTGCTCTAAACTTCAATAATATGTAACGAAAACGGGGCGAAAATTCATTGCATATGCACTTTAAAGTTCATTGTTCGATTTTCCTTTTCTTTATTAAAATAAGATTGAGTACAAGATATCAATTCATTAATATTTCTCTGCGAACCCAAAGCATGATTCCTCGTCACCGGATAGTAAAAGAATAACTGATCCGAACGTTTTAATCTGATCCGAACGTTGTAACCAATACGTTTTCTGTTATCAATAAAGTTCTTTCGCTTAGAAAAACAATTGGCTGCATTGATACATGATTGATCCCCAAGGAGTGAATAAACTCTCTTTAGTGCTCAGTATCCAATCCAGCAAGAATGTGTAGTTTTGTTATGCGATGAAATTAAGTTTTTTGGTTGAGATCTCTAACCTTATTAAGCTTTTCTTGAGTCCTTCACCGCAGTCAAATATGTTTGTACGACGTAAGAATTTCAATTTAACTATGACGTTGGAATCAATATCAGCGAGAACAAAAATAAACATGAGTTCTGAAAATTATTGTGGCGATGCAAAAACCGAAATTCCCTTTATAGAAGAAACAAGTGAGACAATTCCGACATCTCCAGAGAAAAGTTTGGCTTAACATCGAAAAGCAGTAGGAGAAATGAAGCAATCAAGGCAAAAACCACTGATACCATCGGCAAGGAAATCATGTCACATGATCGAGAACCAAATCAAAACAGCTATACAGAGTTTTTCAAGTCATAAGTTGAAATTTTTAAATATAATTGGGTACATCGCTGATAATTTTCCTGAGACTGCTAGACATTCACCGAATTAGCATAAAATCATTCAGAAGTCCTTAAAACACAAAGAAATTATTATGAATTTGCATCAAGAATTTGATGGTTGCCAATTCCAGACAATCGCGCCACAACCTGGCACATTACAGCTGAAGTGATTTGATAAACCATCGTACAGTTACGTCGTTCTTTGAAAAATGGCCATCGTGAGTTTACCACGTGAAAAAATGACAACAAAAGAAATGTACGATTTCTTTTTGCATAGCTTTCCTTATTATGCCAATTGTACAACCGACTGACGTCGATGTATTCGAGCGACATTAATTGGTCACGTCAGTTTTGTTATGCTACCTCTGAAATGGAGCAATGATATACGATGATGATATACAGTAGACCGAGAAAGATGTATTATAAATGAAAAAATGCTTGACGAGGTTGATTAGCCTAGACCAAAAACATGGAACAAGCAACGTTACATCACTTCAAGCCTCACAGTTCCTCAGCTAAAGTTCCACTCGTTTCACTATTAATGATATTCTTTCCACAACATCAACCTCTACAGCTAGATCACATCTTTTATCTTTAACATCACAAGAAACTCCATGCCACTCCAAACCAACCCAGACAATCCTGACAAGTACAACAATGACACATTATCTCAGAGAAGAGAGATTCCAGATTACAAGAAAGACGCCGTTCATTCTACCTGAGGAGGAAGTACATGAAAATGTTAAGCTGAACTATCAACAAAACACATGCTGCACGCCCTTTCGTAATGTTGACTCAATATTAGAGATAGGGTATTATCTGGTTTCATGCACGCTTGTTTCTTGAAACAGTTTAGTGCCATAGACGTACGTGGCAAGTTATTAAGTCCATCGTGTTAAATAAGCCTCCTGATTAAAGAACAATAACTTACTACTGAAAATATTTCAGTTTATAGGCAGTTTTATTTTACACTTTTTATCATTTCAAGCAATGTCGTAGCGAGGCCAGGTTGCATATTGAGTCCAACTTTTAAAATAGTTTTTTGTTATCACTCACTACATCTACATCAGGTTTCAAACATGCAGGTTGGCTGAATTCATATATAACCCAATCAGTACCACATTTTATCGTATATCATAGTTTTTCCACAATTAAAGACAGCAGTCTTCTTTACTATATATTGAATTCGATGCCAACTGTTAAACTTTGGCTAAGTTGAGAAACTAGTACATTTTGTTCCAGGCTATTAAATTAGCTACGCTAAACTACCCTAACTATTCATTTCGGTAAACTTTTGCTAGAATTTAACCCCCTTCAAAATCTTTCGAAAAACTTTCTCTAAATGGCATGCGTTTTGTATATGTTGTTCATTTGTTGTACAACAAATATCTTTGCATTTACCAAAAAACAACTTAGGAAATCGTGAGTGGGGACCACAATAGCCTTTTGAAATACTCTTTAGAAGACTTCAAATAACATTGTGTATCACAAACTCGGAAATTAATCACTTATGAATACCTCAATATTAAGATATGTGATCAAGGATCATGACCATGCAAATGAACACGAATTGTTCAAGGGAAGATACAATTGTTGTCAGTTCCGTGAGTCGAGTACTTATTGATATTTTGTGATTGTATTCTTTTAAATACAAAACACCCTTATTCGCTAATAAGTCAAAATTTCATACTGGTTATACCTAAATGGAGCTGATTTTGTAACTTACGTAAGGGGGGCTAAATATATGATATAAATATCTGGATATTTGTCACCAAAATGTAGTCCACGTAAAATGTAAGCCTCACAAAGTATACATGATGTATAACACATTTATTAAACAGTTTGGTGAAGTTATCAATAATCAAGGCAAGTAATCTGAGATTATAACGTGTTAACTGTAACATTTTTTGTAATAGCAAAAATAATTTGTTCAAAAAAGTAAGCATTACCATGGAAAATAGCAAAATGCAAATTTAAGAAAAAATCTTGGATTTATATGCTTAGCTAAAACTATTAAAAACCATTACAACTATTTGCAATTAAAACTTAATTTGAAGAAATAAATCAAACTAGGGACGTACATACGCCCTAATGTTTCCATACATTTAGTTCCAGAGAGAAATTCATCGTCATAAATTCTTTTATCTGCGACTTCCACGGACGTTTGTAAGATCTAGTTAAATTAGTTGCGTGTGTCATCTGATGATTGTGTATTCGTTGACCATACAGATAATACTGTGGGAAGAATGATTTCTTGTGTTGGTGCACGTACTGCTCCAGTAGATGTTGACGATGTTGGTGTTTCCACTGATTTGGTGAAATCGTCAAGCATCGTAAAATCAGGCATAATAAAGGATTCAGATGAGGCAGCTAAGTTTAAACTAGTCGGGCAAAAGGAGTTTGACTGCAATGATTGGGGTGAAAGTTCAAATATTGGAGTATTTATTGAGATTGGTTTTGTTGTGTACAAAGAAGAAACTGTGACATCTTTATGCACTGCAAAATCAGATATATTTGTAGATTCAGATGAGACGGGAAAGTTTGAAATAGCAGTGTAAGGTAAATTTGACTGAAATGATTGAGGTGAAAGTTAAATTTTTTGAGTATGTATTTACTTTGGTTTTGGTATGTCGACAGATGATACGGCGAAACCATCATGCACCGTCGTATCAGAAAAATTTGTTGATTTAGATGAGGCAAATAGGTCTGAAGTAGTACGGGAAAGTCTATAGGCAAATAGTAATCCCCAAAGACGTGATCTTATTTTGCACCGTAGTTGCATAGACAACCTAATTGCAAGCCCCAAATTCTTCAAATCAAAAGATATTTTCTATTAAGTACATATGACAGTAGCTACAAATCATTTTACCTGTTTTGATTCATATTCAAACCATATGCAAAGTACAAAAAAGGACCCATATTCGGGCTCGTGTTGACTTGAAACTTCCATCGAGAGAAATCGGAGACTTTTTCATTTCTAAATAACAAACAAGGTTTGTAAATATTCTATGAAATTTACTGATTATTTGTTTTTCAATTTAAAGTTTTACCTTGATAGCTTACTCACGGGTTTCCTTACTGTAATAATTTCAAGCTGATTGGTCTCATCGTTTTTAAAAGTTCCTTTGTTTGTTCTAACTACAAGAGTCATCTTTGTTTTCTTCTGTTGAATTAATACGTGACATGTTTGTTACTCTGCATTTAGTTTTCTTTGGAGAAGCACGGTTCTCCAGCAAATTAAAGTCATTTTCTGTCGAAGAGTAGCACGTTCTTAAAGAAACCGATAACGTTTCAATGATTAGATCTTTGTAAACATCATCGTCTATTTTTACGCTTTCACTGTAAGATATTTCCAAATTACAGTGAGTTGATTTTAGATGATTGTCCTTATCATCATGTGAGCTATTAACATTATGCATATCTGCATCGTACATTCTATCTAAAGGATCTGTGTTACATGATTTCCTGTCATCTAAATCCTTTTCACCTTTAGAAAGTTGACCAGTCCAAACATCAACACCAGCTGCCTGTTTGGAAGCATTAGAATCATGAATGTCAATAACGTTGTCATTTGAATCTTCATTTACAGAAATGATTCGTTGATTTTCTGCAAAGTCATTTCTATCATGCCCTTGTACACCATCACCATGATCTAGTTAAGTTATCTCACATTGTTCGGCCAGCGACAGCCTACGAAGATCAACGGTGAAGATTTTTTGAGAGATCGGTCGAGATGTGTTTAGATGCAGATGATAATTTGGATGAACACTTTAAAATCTTCAAAAGTAAATTTCTTGACGAACATAGTAACATTAAAGCTGACGTGTGCGATGTACTTGAAAGGTGAAATACTCTAAATGTAGTTCTTGGAGAAATTCAACTTGAATTTTCAGTATTACAAAAACGAATTTTTATCTTGATATGAGCTTAAACATTTGTTTTAAGCTTCACGTGGCTTCGTGCAGAATATGGAACAGCTGGCCCAAACAAGAAGATGCCATCTCCTCACTTATATGTTATGGTTGATGATAGTCAAGAAAAATCGAATAAAATTATAAAGCAAGAGATTGATGGAAAATTTGGATTGAAGCTTCGAAATACATTGATTTGCCGCGTAAAGCTCCTAAAAAAGCAAATTTTTGATTGCTGTCTGATTTTCGCGCTGCAAGAAAGGATCAAAATGACGTTGGATGTCGTAGTACATTTGAAAGTATTTATTTGTAATTAGATTAGCCGGACATAACTGATTCTTTGGAAATACTTATGATCAATTACATTAAAGTAAATGGTTTGAACCCGGGAGTATCGTAACATGCATAGGCGTACGGGGGGGGGGTGGGCTGGGGGGGCTGCAGCCCCAATTTCTCGAGAATTTGTGTATTCGGGCAAGCATTTACATGATATTCTGGCAAGATACTTACTACAGTTTTTAAATTTTCAATATTAATCTACATCATTTCTATATCATAAACTGCTTCGGTTCTTGAGCGTGAACGGTCTTTTAATGGATGGTTTTAAATTGTTTAAATTACTTAAATTTCAGGAGGTAAAATAAAAATCGCGTAAAGTGATTGGGTGCAAAATTTTTCTTGAGACATAATAGGAGAATTTTACATCCGCCCCATTATAATATAAACAAATTACGTCACGAGAAATCGGTCTATTTACTAGCGATATTGCGACGAATATATTCGGTGTTTACAACTTTTAAACGAACACGAACGCCGATATTTTCAATCAGAGCAAAGCTTTTGGTATTAAATTTATCCACATAACGTTCTCCATTTATAAAAAAGGGCTGAGGTCAGTAAAAGTCTTGAAATGTCTTGAAATTGCGAAAAATCGTCTCCCCACACGCTATCCGTTATACATTAATATATAGATTAACAATCGCTGCGATCCCCAAAAGTGATTTTTAATTTTTGCATGAAAATTAGGCTTCGTATGGAGAGGCACTGTCCATTCCATTGATTAGATTAGTGCCATTCACTCTATGATTGTTGTTCAAGGAAACTATTATCCACAAGGGGAAAACATTTAGTAGCCAAGCTCTAATAAAGCGTACATATGGCGTCTCGTAAACGACCGTATCGACATCGCGTTTGGTGCGAGGAATGCAGCAAGGAAATTGACAGTGATTATAAGGAGGTCCACTTTCGACGAGTTCACAATAATGAAAAAGTTAAGTGTCATCGAGTGATGGATTCATCGGATTTATCGCAGTCAAAGATCAGTGGTTTCTTTGTAAAAAGTAACATGACAACCAAGGATGATAACCTAACCTTACAGGAAACAGAATCGAGTGCTAGTAAAGATTTAGCAGCCACTGGGTCTTTTGAGGAAAATCTACCTGAGATTAATTTGAAGGAGCCCATAAGCGAAGACCAAACGGAACCAATGAGAACGTTTATTGATGTTGATGAATTAAATCCACTGACGCAGTTCAGAGAAAATAAAGAATTGAATACGGTCACGGATAATGAAAATCTTACTTCCAGTGACGCACTGTTCATCGAAGAATTTAACTTAAATCAAAATATACAACGCGTTGCAACACCAGAATCAACGACGACGTCTAACACTCTAGACACAACAGCAATACAAGATTTAGATTCAACAGCATCTGTTCTAAATGAACAGACTAGAAAGGTTTCCTTAACAGTATGAATGAAGAAGAGATTTCCACCTTGCACGCCCCAAAACAGCCTATATTAGGTGAATATCCTGCACGAAAATTCGGCAGTGAAACATTTGTGCGACGATTTCAGCCTGAATGGTACAAGAAATATCCATGGATTAGTTACGAAGTGGATAAAGATGCATGCGTTTGTTTTGCCTGTAAAGAATTTGGGAAGAATACTTCATTTGTGCTTACAAATTGGAAGAAGTCGTCAAAGCTGGCAAAACATGGCAAGAGTGAGAACCACGTCAGATCCATGACAAGATGGCTCCAGTTTAAAGCAATGGAAAGAAAGAAAACCTCCGTACTACAACAGCTGAATAGTGCACACCAGGACCAGGTTGCTATTAACAGACAATACTTAAAAGTAATCATACAATCTTTGATGTACACTGCACAACAAAATGTTGCAATTAGAGGTCATGAAGAGATTCGGGGTGATATATGGGAGATATCTGATATAAATAGAGGAAACTTTCTCGAGTTACTTTGCATAAGATGCAACGATTTGCCTTGGCTGAAATCTAAACTTCAAAGCCAGCTGCAGACACATGCTCAGTGGACATCCCCTGCTATTCAAAATGAACTACTGGAAATAGTAGCAAGTGTCATGCTTGAGAGGATAGCAGAAGAAGCAGAAGTAGCGACTACTACGGAATAGTTGTCGATGAAACGGCAGACATCAGTCGAACAGAGCAATTATCTCTTTTCCTCAGATATGTTTTCAATGGCGAAACCAAAGAGACATTCACTGGTTTCTATTCAACCAAATCTACGGAAGGAGAAGTATTGTATGAGCTGTTAAAGACAGCCATTGGCAGGCTAGAGTTGACATTGGAAAACATTGTCGCAGAATGCTTTGATGGCGCTGCAAATATGAGTGGCCCTCGCAAAGGACTTGCTGCACGCATGAAGGAGTGCTCACCTCTTAGCATCTATGTTCACTGCCATGGGCATCGGCTTAACTTGGCGCTACAAGATACGATGACTACAATTGAGCCACTTCAGAAAGCTTTAGGTGTGATCCAGAGTCTCCATAATTTCTTGGAAGGAAGTCCCAAACGCCACTCCATCTTCAATGACATCAAGGTCGAAGATGAGGACGAAGATATTACACTGACTATTAAATCGCAGAGTGCTACTAGATGGTCTTGTCGTTGGGCAGCTGTAAAGCAGCAGTAAACCAATTACCTAAGATCATCGAGGTTCTCCTTACACTCTCAAAAGATCGCGATCCGAAGACCTACAATGACAGCAATTCGCTACTTAACTCGATTTGCGACTTTCGGTTCGTTTTTGGTTTGATGGTATTAAAGGTTATTTTATCTAACACCGATGGTTTGAGCAGGTACCTACAAGGAAAGCAAATGGATGTCGCCACAGCAAAGAAGAGTGTTGATGGCGTGATTAAGACATTAATTGATGTCGTTCCCTCGAAAATTTCGAACTGTTATGGTCACGGGCTGAAATCATAGCACACAAAATTAAGGAGCAAATTGAAGGTACAGAATTCAATTTCAAAGATGCAAAAGTACCAAGATTCCAACAGCCGTCACGGCGGCTCCAAGCTCTCGTCGGTGAAATGGCTGAAGTAAATGCAGAAGTGGAAAATCGAACAGAAAAAGATTACTATCGTATCACATGCTACTACCTAAGCATTGACAAGATTGTGGCGGAGATGAAATCAAGATTTGAAGGTAGTGATCAAGAGGTCCTATTGGCACTTGCAGATATTGTGTTCAACAGGTCTCCAACCACGGCGAATGTTGAGTTGGTATCACACTTCTATGGTATCGACAGTGAGCTTCTTAGTAGCGAGAAAAATGTCTTTGAGAATATTGACGTTGATTTCCCTTGTGCTGAGAGAAAACGCTGCCAAAATTGTTAAGAGAATGTTCGAAAATGGTGTTCATGAAGTCCTGCCTGTGGCTTACAAAGTATTTTCGATTCTGGCCGCGATCCCGGCAACATCCTGCTCAGCAGAAAGATCTTTTAGCGCTCTTCGTCGCTTAAAACCTATCTTCGAAGTACAATTGGTCAAAACGGTTAAACAGCATTGCCCTAATCAATGTGGAAAGAGCCTATGCAAATAGTACTTTAAAGAACGACATGGAAAAGATAATTAACATTTTTGGACAGCGACGTAATCGTAAATCTTATTTCTTTTAGTCTTAGATCGTCGCACATTTAACTAACTAAATTTCTTCTGCGTCTAGTGTTATATATGACAAAATTTCAAATATCAAATAAAATGTAGTTACTTTCGTAGCATCCTCTTAGCAAATTGTAATGATTTTAGCTTATTAATTGAGATGGCCAGAGACAACATAAGAATATCTATGACGTCATACGTCATATGACGTCATATAATTCGGGCAAATTTAGTCCAGCTCCCCCTAAAAATATGTGCCCGTACGCCTATGGTAACATGTTTGTAAATGTAGATCGTCTAGCTTGGTATAGTCCTGAGAAGGACTGTTTTTGATAGACTGGGTGAAAGTTTAAATATTGAAGTATGTATTGAGATTGGTTTAGTTTTGTCGACTGGTGAAACTGTAAAATCGTCATTCAACTTAAAACCAGGTATATTTGTGGATTCAGATGAGACAGGTAGGTCTGAAGTAGTAGGGTAAAGGGAGTTTGACTGAAAGGACTGGGGTGAAAATTCAAATTTGAAGTATTTGTTGAGATTGGTTTTGTTTTATCTATGGTTAAAACTGTAAATTCATCATACAACGTAAAATCAGGTATAGTTGTGGATTCAGTTGAGGTAGGTAAGTCTGGTTTAGAAGGGTAAGAAGTGTTCGACTGGAAGTACTGGAGTGAAAAATCATTGGTGCATTACGTATTAAGGCTGGTGTGCCAATTGATGAATCTGCCAAATCGTCGTACACCGTAAAAGCAGGCATCATTGTGGATTCAGATAAAACAGGTAGATCTAAAGTAGCACGGATAGGTGAGTTTGACTGGAAGGACTGCGGTGCGTGTTCATCGGTGGTAGCTACATTAATGACATTTACTGCAGATAAATTCTCTTCTTTGCTTGTCCAAAAACATTTTTGGCGTTTTAAGGTTTGACGAACAGTTTTGCACCAATCTTTGAGATAATTGACAAAAATGGGAAACTTGTCCATCATGTACTTGTATATTTCTAATACGCTCATAATTTGATATGGTGGTGAACTCATTATTGCCTCTGTGATCATAGCTTTGTAGGTGTCGGTGGTTTTTCCAAAAATCCTTCTAATTGCTTTTGTTTCGTTTCGTTTTTTTTGGCGAAGAGCAAATTGAGCAGTAATTTACCATGCAATTTGGCGATATTGCCCAGTATTGATAATCATCTGAACTTTTAGGCAACTTAACAAAACAGTCTTCAAATTTTAAATATGATCGGACACTTTTATGCCAGTATGTCAAATCTAAGACAATATTGGACTCAGGAAAGTTGTCCAAGATGTAGGTAATGATCTCGTTTTCCGTCATTCTTTGGCGAGGTGAGCATGTGATAGCCTTCTTAATGAGATTGCCACAACTGTCAGGTGGCTTTCTTTTTGACGGTACCATTTGTTCAGTATTTTTTGGAACACTCAAAAATGGGCTACTAAAGACACTGTTAATTTCCAATTGCCTTTGTTTCGCTTCTCTCGGTAAACAGCAAATTGAGCAGTAATTAACCATGCAATTTGGCGATATTGCCCAGTATTGATAATCATCTGAATTCTTAGGCAACTTAACAAAACAGTCTTCAAATTTTAAATATGATCGGACACTTTTATGCCAGTATGTCAAATCTAAGACAATATTGGACTCAGGAAAGTTGTCCAAGATGTAGGTAATGATCTCGTTTTCCGTCATTCTTTGGCGAGGTGAGCTTGTGATAGCCTTCTTAATGAGACTGCCACAACTGTCAGGTGGCTTTCTTTTTGACAGTACCATTTGTTCAGTATTTTTTGGAACACTCAAAAATGGGCTACTAAAGACACTGTTGTTTTCTAATTGTCTTTGTTTCGCTTCTCTCGGTAAACAGCAAATTGAGCAGTAATTAACCATGCAATTTGGCGATATTGCCCAGTATTGATAATCATCTGAATTCTTAGGCAACTTAACAAAACAGTCTTCGAATTTTAAATATGATCGGACACTTTTATGCCAGTATGTCGAATCCAAGACAATATTGGACTCAGGAAAGTTGTCCAAGTTGTAGGTAATGATCTCACTTTCCGTCATTCTTTGATGAGGTGTGCTTGTGTTAGCCTTCTTGATAAGATTGCTGCAACTGTCAAGTGGCTTTCTTGTTGATAGTACCATTTGTTCAGTTCTTGTTGGAACACTCAAAAATGAGCTACTATTAGCACTGCTATTTTCCGACTCAGAACTAACAATGCCCTCAGAAATTGTGGTTAACTCATCTTTCCTTTTTTGAGTGGAAACGTCGACTTCGGCATCCTGACAACGTTTTTCTGAACTCATGCTTGTTTTTGGTAATAAGTCTTGTTTTAACCAAACATTTGATATGACAAGTACTTTGAAAAATGTACAATTATTTTCAATATGTATTTTGTCAACCACAGTGCCAAACATTAAATTATTTTATATCTAATTTATATTACCATAATGAAAACAGTCAATTGCAATTCCTGACCAATAGAAAGGCCGAGCTAGCTCACGGCAACCATCTATCTTTTTTAATGATACCGTTAGGAATTTAAACAAAAATGACGTGAATGTTTAAAGACGTATTTCCTCCAATTAAATAGAAAAGGAATGTTTACTTCCTAGTGTCAATTGTCAATACACTATGTATAAGCTTGATAATTATTCAAATTCGAAATCTTTTCTTATAAATAAAATGGTCAAAAGACATGCATTTGAACAGCTAATAGATTTGTATGCAATAGCTTCATGCATTTTAATGTTTTGGGTGCATCGTACATTCTATTGTTTTCAAAAACAATAGTTTTAAATCCTGCCTAAAACTTCAGGCATG